CTTTGAACACGGAATGTGCACCTTTCCATTACTTTATCATGGACAGACTTCTCTCATCACTTTTCCCAGCTCTATGGATTCCCTGTTGAAAAATTACAAGGTTCAGAGAACCAGAAAACACTCTAATAAATAAAACCACAAGACAGAGCCTTCCCTCCTCTCTCAGTGCTACCAATGACCACCAAAAGATTGGAAGCAAGGTTTCAACGGCAAACTTCCTTATTTTTGCTGTCTTACCAGGTTCCTGGTTGCAGGTGGCCCTGGCTCTCCAGGAGGACCTGGCGGCCCAGGCATTGCAGCTGCTAAAACAAAACAAGCACACAATACATGTTGAAGGTCATCTTTTTTTGAGAGAGAAGGTGAGTGACATAAAGAAAGGACTTAGTGGTGATGCCTAGGAGTAGTGGGAGAAGTTGAAGTGGGAGAAGAGAAGTACTATTGAAGTTCTGAATAGCTGCGCTCAAGCCAACTACAGAAAATGCATTCTAAGCACTTTTTTAAAAAGCAATGGGGAAACTTAGTCTTTTCTCTGTTATTTGGGAGGTTAAGGTCAAGATTTCATGCTCTGCAACTGAAGAACCAGATCTACTTAAACTGACTAGAAAGCTCTTCTGCTCGCTGCTGCTGATGTGCATATGGAAGAGCTTTTAGCTCCTGCCCGTACAGGCCTTGAGGGAGTCATTACATCTTTCGCCCTAAAAGTAAAGAAAAAAGAACTTCTCCTTAGATAAAAAATGCACAAGTGTAAGCTCAGCTTATGTTTTGAAGCAACAAAGAATTCTCCAGAGGTATAAACTTGGACTTCTACGACTGCAGTCCACAACATCTAGTACCTGGCACCTGTCACTTCTCCAAAACTGGATTTCTGCACCTTGAGCTGAAAGTCCCCGTTTTCTGGAGTAAAATCTCCTTTCTTTTAAGGAAGGAAAGAAGGAAAGATATGGAAGTCTGAAAGCAAGTGTCTTGTGCAAATGTGGATCATGATAATGGAGCTTTGAAGCTGTTTAGAGGAATGAGCTTCTACACACGAGCCCTGCTGAGCATCATGGTGGGTCCCAGCAGGGCTTTGTAGCTGAGATCTGGGCAGATCTTGCATTAACCGTAAGTAGAAACTCCTTCTGTAGAGGAAAAGAGAGAGGCAAAGTGTTGACAACAAAACAGGTCCAGGGATATCCAGGAGACTACACTAGTGTACTGCTGGGAGGAATGGAGAACGCACAGGAAGAAATCTGATCAGGAACAGAAAGACATGATGA